GTTTTTACACGGCGTCATGGGTTCAAATCCCGTACAGACCTGAATTTCTTTCTTTTCTTTCTTTCTTTTTTTCTCAGGCCTTATTTTCACTACTGCTCGAGTAGTGTTCTTTACTGCGAGGATCGCTTTCTTATTCATTTCTTAAAACTGCCGTGCAAATATATGATTTTCATATATTCCCAGTCACGTTAGGCTCAGAAATATTACGAAACACGAAAATAATAAATATATCATATTGTAGTGTAGCATGCGATCATATTGTTGCAAGAATTTTGATGCCAGACAGGTGCAATGCAGAGAGGGAACTGAACCCCCCTGGTCCCGCCATTGACCTTATCATAAACTCATGCGGTGATCACAGACACACCCAACGAAGTCACATTTTGTTTCATGGGAAAAAGGGTTGATCCGGCAAGGAGACTATTCCATGGTTTATTGCAATTTTGTCCATTATGCGCTTTAAATTGTTTACACCATTTCCTCTATATAATTAACTATATATTGATCACAAAAATTCCGCTCTAATTAGGTACTGCAGTCCCAAAGTGAAGATGTTTTTAACAGACGCCATGCTCTTATAGACGCTAAAGAGACTATATCCAATGATGTCATGGTGGAAGAATATAATTCTACCCTCTGAACTTTTTAGTGCTTACTAACTTCAAAACTATAAGCCAATTCTTTGAACTGTAAAATTAAGCGTAATTGGCAGACAAACATAATTTCAAATAGCGAAAAGAGACGTTAAATTAAATTCTCCCACCTTTTTCGAACTGGAAAGCTTTGAGAAGGTACGTCTGTTTCAATTTAAACAGCAAGTTTTGTACAGACTTAATCCTTGTCTGCTCTGAGCGAACAAACAGTTTTTTAGTCTTTCGGGTCATGCAAATAAGATGGATTTCTTCACACCGAAGGTGGCCCCACATCAACTTGGATAAACAACGTATCGTCTACCAAATATCGCCTCGTTCTCAGTTTCTCGTGAGACACGAATCTAGCGTATCCACGACCCGGGTTTTCTTCAGCAGTGGGTCTCGCAAAGTTCTCTAGTTTTGTATTGGCTCTGAAATGCATAACAACGTTCTCGCGCTCGTCAAGGCTCTCTTGCTGGTCTACCAGCGTAAACGTGACCTTGTGGTTAAATGGCCAAGGCAATATTCCGTCGTGTTCCCCTCTCATGACGATTACAAACGCTGAGAGGTGCGTATTCCTGCCTGACCCGTCTCCGTTCGGATTTACGGAGAGTTTTAGCTTATAACCGTATTTTCCAGTGTAAAAAGGGTCGCTGTCCATTTCATTGTTGCGGCCATGTTTGGCCTGGCGTAAGATATCATCGAAACCGGTTACCTTCCATACAAACGTTGGAGTTTCCATCTTGCTCTTTTGCATTTCTTTCTCTTGCGCAGAAGCTTTGAGCAAGAGATTCTCGTTCTCCTTTTTCACGTCGTCCAGTTGTTTCTTAAGGGTTTTATTCTCCTTGTTAAATTCTTGCTGCAGTACGGCAAGCTTCTTGCACGCGAAGCCCAAATGAGAGGTCGTATCTTCATGAATGTGTGTTTCCAGGTTTCTTCTTTCCACCTGTAGATATGACGTGACCGTAAGAAAACATGTTTCACAAGAGCATGCAACAAAGTTAAATCAGAGTTCCACTTGAAGATTCGAATCTCAGCTTCTATAAATTTGGCGGTTGAATGCTCTACCGACTGAACAAGCCACATGGCACCAGCGTGCTAGGTCCTACACCTGCTTTTAAATTATCATTATTAAAATTCGCCGGTCAAGTGAATAATAGAGAGATTTAGCACCGCCTTTACGTGAAATGGCACACGTCAGCTTGCCCTTTCACGTTTGATGTAAAATCACGTGAACCTTGCTGCTTTAGCTTCGTTTGAGCTCACTTTACGTGAAATGAATTTATACGTGAAATGCCTTTACGTGAAATGGCACACGTCAGCTTGCCCTTTCACGTTTGATGTAAAATCACGTGAACCC